GTCAGGCTGGTCTCAAACTCCTGACCTTGTGATCCGCCCGCCTCGGCCTCCCAAAGTGCTGGGATTACAGGCAGGAGCCACCGCACCCGGCCTATATATATTTTATATGTATCAAGTATGTATATTTGAGATATACATATAAAACAAAGTATATATATTTTGTAAATATATATTTTATAAAAACATAAGATATAAATAATGCATAATAAATGATGGTAAAGATAATAATAATAAAAACAGCGCTGCAGTCCCATCCCCATTTTGTACTCACCCCCTAAAAATCCCTATAAAAATCAAGTCTATTAAGGAGCAAATTCCACCCTTTTTATTTAGAAGCCAGTGTCTATAGGCTCGCTCTTGGGTTGGATTAATTCCAGGGTAGAGGAAAACTCCAGTTTTTGAGCTGGAAACGCACCCCTGCTTTTCAGGACTTTTTAATTTTGATTTTTTCAACTTTTATTTTAGGCCCAGGGGTCCATGTACAGGTTGCTATACAGGTAAATTGCGTGTCACGGGGGTTGGGTGCACAGATTGTTCCGTCACCCAGGTACTAAGTGGAGCACCGGATAGGTAGTTTTTCCGCCCTCACTTTCCCCACGAGTCAAGCAGCAAAAATGCGAGGCCTTGTGGGCGGGGCCGGGGTGCCCGCTCTTGCCACTGGTCCAATCACAGCACGGCGCTCCGCCTGGCCGGTCACCGATTGGTGGTTGCCATAGCTCCGGGCGTTCGCTTGACAAGATGGCGGCGGTGGGGCGGTGTTTTCGTGTCTGAGTCCTTCTCGGGTTCTAAGGCGGGCGCGGTTCTGCTGGGCCCGGCCCGCGAGGTCTAAGGCATGGGCTTCCAGTCTCCGGCCGCTCTTCTTTTGAGGCTTCTCCTTCTGCAGGGCGTCCTGAGGCTGGTGTGGGGGGACCTGGGTGTGTACGGCGCGGCAGGGACCTCGGTGGGCCGGGGCTAAGGGGACTGGGCGTTAAAAGGGCCAGACCTGGACTCTCCCGGGAGTTTCGGGAGTCGAGACCGCCAAAGGAAGCCGCCACACACACCTTAGGCGGTGACTCTTCCACTGCTAATCCCTCCTTATCCCCTTTCCTTCCCGCCTAGCTTTCATCCCTCCTTTTATCCGAATGTCCGGCCCTGCGGTCAGCGCATCCCTGGTCGGAGACACCGAGGGCGTGACCGTGTCCCTGACCGTGCTGCAGGACGAGGCGGGTAAAGTCTGGCCCTTATTTTGGGGAGGGTGGGGGTTGGACTGGATCCAGACCTCCCAGGGAGCCTGGCGAGGTGGCATCCTTTGGGCCCCCTGCCTCTGTTCTCTGTAAAGTCGCATGGGGAGAAAAGGATCAGGGCCCTGCTGTAGGCCAGAGAGGACAGACGGACAGGTTCGAAGAAAGCTTGAAATAATAATGGCTAGCATTAATTGAACTGACATCGTGCATCATCCCATTTTCCTTGTAAGAGCAGTAATATCTTTTCATCCCCTTTGACCAGTGAAGAAACAAATTCAGAGAGGTTGTCACTGTCCCAGTATCAAGCAGCTTGTAAAGGGCCCAATCTTGGGCTGCAATGTGAGTCCATCCTAGGCAGTCTGACTCGAGCTGATGGGCCGTGCTGCCTTTGCGTGCTGGTCTTCTCTTCTTTAGGAATATTGCCAGTTCCGACGTGTGGAATGCTGAGCAATGAGACGGAAGACTGGAGTGTGACTGTGACCCCTGGTGCGGTAAGGCAGAAGTAAACGTTCTCTGCAGCCTGTGAAGAGGCCTCCAGCTAGGGTTTCTGCACTGCTGTCTTTATTTGACAAGGCATAGCTTTCTCCATGCTCTGAACAATCATGAAATTGTGGGCTGTTGGATCTGGTAGACACTTAGCCAGCCCACGGTTCCTTACCCTGGGGTTAGGAGTCCTTGGATGCATTTTAGGGGGTCTGTGAACTCTGTGAAATTGTGTGTAAAGTTCTGTTTGTATGTGTATTTTTCTGATGAGAGGGTCATCAGTTTCCTTCAGATCATCAAATGGGTCAATGATTCAAAAAAGCTTTATGCCAGGCATTGTGGCTCAAGCCTGTACTCGTAGCACTTTGGGAGGTTGACACGGGAGGATTGCTTAAGCCTAGGAGTTCCAGACCAGCCTGTAACATAAAGAGACCCTGTCTCTACAAAACAATTTTTAAAAAATTAGGTGGGTGTGATGGCGCACACCTATAGTCCCAGGTACTTGGAGTGGGGTGGGGGAGCTGAGGCAGGAGGATTATTTGAGCCCAGGAGTTCAGGACTGCAGAGAGCTATGATCATACCACTGCACTTCATCCAGCCTGGGCAACAGAGCAAGACCCTGTCTCTTAAAAAA